TGCCATCATCACCATCATCATCACCATCATCACCATCACCATCACCACCATCATCATCATCATCACCCTCATCACCATCACCCTCATCATCACCATCATCATCACCAGCATCACCATCACCATCACCACCATCATCATCATCATCACCCTCATCACCATCACCCTCATCATCACCATCATCATCACCAGCATCACCATCACCATCACCACCATCATCATCATCATCACCCTCATCACCATCACCCTCATCATCACCATCATCATCACCAGCATCACCATCACCATCACCACCATCATCATCATCATCACCCTCATCACCATCACCCTCATCATCACCATCATCATCACCAGCATCACCATCACCATCACCACCATCATCATCATCATCACCCTCATCACCATCACCCTCATCATCACCATCATCATCACCAGCATCACCATCACCATCACCACCATCATCATCATCATCACCCTCATCACCATCACCCTCATCATCACCATCATCATCACCAGCATCACCATCACCATCACCACCATCATCATCATCATCACCCTCATCACCATCACCCTCATCATCACCATCATCATCACCAGCATCACCATCACCATCACCACCATCATCATCATCATCACCCTCATCACCATCACCCTCATCATCACCATCATCATCACCAGCATCACCATCACCATCACCACCATCATCATCATCATCACCCTCATCACCATCACCCTCATCATCACCATCATCATCACCAGCATCACCATCACCATCACCACCATCATCATCATCATCACCCTCATCACCATCACCCTCATCATCACCATCATCATCACCAGCATCACCATCACCATCACCACCATCATCATCATCATCACCCTCATCACCATCACCCTCATCATCACCATCATCATCACCAGCATCACCATCACCATCACCACCATCATCATCATCATCACCCTCATCACCATCACCCTCATCATCACCATCATCATCACCAGCATCACCATCACCATCACCACCATCATCATCATCATCACCCTCATCACCATCACCCTCATCATCACCATCATCATCACCAGCATCACCATCACCATCACCACCATCATCATCATCATCACCCTCATCACCATCACCCTCATCATCACCATCATCATCACCAGCATCACCATCACCATCACCACCATCATCATCATCATCACCCTCATCACCATCACCCTCATCATCACCATCATCATCACCAGCATCACCATCACCATCACCACCATCATCATCATCATCACCCTCATCACCATCACCCTCATCATCACCATCATCATCACCAGCATCACCATCACCATCACCACCATCATCATCATCATCACCCTCATCACCATCACCCTCATCATCACCATCATCATCACCAGCATCACCATCACCATCACCACCATCATCATCATCATCACCCTCATCACCATCACCCTCATCATCACCATCATCATCACCAGCATCACCATCACCATCACCACCATCATCATCATCATCACCCTCATCACCATCACCCTCATCATCACCATCATCATCACCAGCATCACCATCACCATCACCACCATCATCATCATCATCACCCTCATCACCATCACCCTCATCATCACCATCATCATCACCAGCATCACCATCACCATCACCACCATCATCATCATCATCACCCTCATCACCATCACCCTCATCATCACCATCATCATCACCAGCATCACCATCACCATCACCACCATCATCATCATCATCACCCTCATCACCATCACCCTCATCATCACCATCATCATCACCAGCATCACCATCACCATCACCACCATCATCATCATCATCACCCTCATCACCATCACCCTCATCATCACCATCATCATCACCAGCATCACCATCACCATCACCACCATCATCATCATCATCACCCTCATCACCATCACCCTCATCATCACCATCATCATCACCAGCATCACCATCACCATCACCACCATCATCATCATCATCACCCTCATCACCATCACCCTCATCATCACCATCATCATCACCAGCATCACCATCACCATCACCACCATCATCATCATCACCACCACCATTACCACCATCATCATTGATCATCATTGTCAACACCACCACCACTGTCACCTGAGACTTATTCAGGGAGGAGTCCAGATACAATGTGAGTATGGAATTACTATTAAGGAATTTATATTAGACCTCCAATTAAAAATCATACAAAATATCAGGAGGTAACAATGCTGGAAGATGCTAAGGCAGTAACAACCAAAAGAAAAACCATAAGGAGAGGCACAGTGCAACAGTAGAGTGCCTGTTTAGCCTTGACTGGAACCCCAGTACCACAAACATCAGAAAAAAAACTCTAGGAGCAGAGTAAATAAATACACAATTAAGGTATAGGGATACAAATGTGGAGCATACTCCTTAGGAATGTTCAAGTTTAACTTTCAATTTCCTTGTTTTGTGATCCTAGTCATGTATATAAATATATATATATATATCCTTCTCCAGTCTTGGTCACCTTGTTGATAAAGCTGGAGTATAACACCCACCTCATGAGGCTGCTAAGAGTGAGCCTTAACTTGGTATATTATGACAATTTTCTAATTGCTGAAGCTTAATCAGGCAGTAAACAATTATTTTTCAAAATCTTGACTGTAACTCTCTTGGAATATGTATTTATCAATATTGTTTTGTTTATGGTATTAATAGTTTGACTCTTCAACATTACCACATTTTCACACCCAAACCACTAAAAACACAAAAACAAACCAAAAACAAAATGACAAAGTTAATTTATCTACTCTAGCCCTCAGAGCGTAGCAAGCCCTTTGGTAGCCTCTAGTTTCATTCCCCAGGGCGCTCTCCACACGCATTACTGATTTCTGGTTTTTCTACTGCCTACCAATGGGAGAATTGATTCAGTCATGGGGGGAACTAACATATTGTTCTTTACTGCTCTTACCTTGTTTGTTCAATATTTCCCTTCTTTTATCTCCTTTCCACAAAAGTCTGTATAAAAATCCCCAGGCAACTCCCAGGATGTATATTTTATACAGAGAACTATTGTGTTGCTCTCCATCTAGAGGTACATGGATCCCCTAGGGATGGAGCAGTCCTCAGTCATGGAGAACAGTGGTGAAGGTCCACTGAGATCAACAATAAAACCACACCCAGTGAAGGAGAGCAGCTCAATAGAAACCGGCTGCACACTATGCCTTTAAACTTTCTCAGGCTGGACAGAACACATGAGAGGTATGTGTCAACTCTTTGCCCATGAGAAAATTCGCAAAACCAGTTAAATCAGAAAAATAAAGAAGTACTATTTTGATTTGAAGATGTTATAAATAGAACTGGGCTTTGAATTTTTAAAATACTTGTAGCTGTCACTGTTGTAATGAAACTAATCTACATTCATTATAAATAGTGTGTTTACAGAATTAGTCTTGAAACTTTTAAATAGTATTCAGTGAATGTTTACTGGAGGGAGATTGTTTTACCTATCACCAAATCCAACAAGCTTCTGTAGAAAAATTCTTTTAATGATGATAAAATTTTCAATAACAGTGTAAGTAATGGACCGTTATCAGAACGGTGCAGCTGACTGGAGGTTTGCTAAGGTCTGTCCATGTTTAAAAACACAAGGTCATGCTGTCAAGCTTTAGGGAATTGAAGAAACAAGATCCGTGGAATACATCACACCTAACCAATCATAAAACACACAATCAAACTTTCAAGATTTACAGCAGTTAATTTTTTTTTTAACAATGAGAATTGGAGAGATGTCTCAGTGGTTAAGAGCAATTGACGCTATTGCAGAGGACCTGGGTTCAATTCCCAGCACCCAGGTGGTGGCTCATAACCATTCATAACTCCAGTTCTAGGGGATCTGATGTCCTCTTCTGACCTTTCCAGGGACCAGGCATGTACATGCTGAACACACATACATGCAGGCAAACATTTCTACATATAACAAAAATGTTTAAAAAATATTTTAATGAAATTTAATGAAAATATTTCTCATATATGATAGAGAATGAAGAGTGAAGGGCACATCTTAATTTTATTCTTAAAAACCCACAATTATACGAAGACAAAGAGTTCTTTTAAGTCATCGTTGACCAATATTCTACAATACACAATCACATGTTCTAAAATTCAGCACACACCTTTGTCACAGAAACAGGAGATAAACATGTCTGGCCACCAGCACTAAAATTGCAGAAAACCTCAAAGGCATCTGAAGAGCATCCAAGATTTGGATCAATCCAGTATTTTCCTGTTAATTTATAACAAAAACGCAAGGTTATGTCAACCTCATACTAAGCTACATGGACTTATATATTGTGACATCTGAGAACAAAAAGTCCTGAAAAGATCTGTGCCTGCAGAGACTGCCTGATGGGAATTTCCGTACTGGGGAGAGATTGGCATGTTGCAGGTCCAGAGACTAATTACTCAGTCTTGGGCTAAGTTCTAGCCGTCCCTAGAACAGCCATTGCTTGCCTACCTCTGTGTCTAGACTAACACTTTGTGACTGATAAATAGAAACCTTTTAGAATCTATTGACTTAGCAGACCGTTAGCTCCTATTTTTCCAAAAGCTAAGAATGTCATCAGATATCATCTTGGGCCTACACAAAAGCTCTCCCCTTCTCACCGTATCCACCCTCTCTGATGCACCCACCAGGGTATTTTTTAAACTTGCCTTGATTTGTGACTTTCTTTGCTCTGTATTTCATAAAACTGCTTCACATTGGAATGTGGAATTTGGGGTAACCTGAGCCTTGGCCACTCAAAATGCCCCCCTAAACTGTCTCTTATTCCCCTTAAAATGAGAGCTATGGTTTTTGTTGACACATGTTTACATATCTGTCACGTCTTATCTGTTAAAATACATAGCTGTTTGCAAACATCCATATTCAGCGAATGAATGAAAGCTACAAGCACATAACATTGTTACCCAGAACTGTATTTTTCAAGAACATATCAATTTAAAAAGCATTTCATAATCTTAATCTTAAAAACAGTAGATAGGCTGAGTTCACTGCTTTGGACTATGGATAAGTAGGTGTCCGTTAAGCCCTGACTGTGAGATTGCTCAGTGGGCAGAGGCACTTACAACTGAGCCTCATGACCCGGTTTTGATCCCTGGGACTCAACATGGTAGAATCGACTGCTGCAAGTTCTCCTCTGATCTCCATAAACTCATTGTGGTTTGTGTGCACCCACACACAATAAATGAGTGTCAATTGTTTTTTTTTTTTTTAAAGTTTTTTTTTTTTTTTTTTTTTTTTTTTTTAAAAAATTTTTCCTTGGGGTTTTTTTTGCCACCCAGAAGAGGGCACCAGATCTCATTATGGATGGCTGTGAGCCACCCTGTGGGTTCTGGGAATTGAACTCAGGACCTCTGGGAGAGCAGCCAGTGCTCTTAACCTCTGAGCCATCTCTCCAGCCCAAGTGTCAATTGTTTTAAATGAAAAAGGTCAACTAGAAGTTACACAATTGGTATTATAGTTGTAGTTAATGTACATTTTTGTTCTAAAATTTTTTATAGAGTTTAAAATGGAGATTTCATTTCAAATAGAAATGATCTCAATCTAGCTGGAGAAAATGTATCTTCGTGGGTAATACTGATGATTAAAAGTAATAAAATTGGGCTAGAGAGATGACTCTGAGGTCAACAGCACTGGCTGCTCCTAGAGAGGACCCGGGTTTGATTCCCAGCACCTACATGGAAGCTCACAACTGTCTTGTTATTCCAGGTCCAGGAAATTCAACACTCTCTTCTGGCCTCCACAGGCTCTGCAAACACGTGGTGCACAAACACACATGCAGATAAAACTTAAAAATTATATATTCTATTTACAAAAGAGAAACATGTAATTAAACAGTGACTGTGTTTGTGTTTTCCCCTTCAGATCTGTAAGTGGGCAAGATGGAAGTCTCTACACCTCATTTCTGCTGACGACTCTACAGCTAAAGCAAAGGCAGAGAGTAAAATGATTGTTTAGGAAACACTCGGCTGATAGGCGTGGTGTTCTCCCTTCCTGTTTCCAGAGTGGCAGAATATTCAAACAGCGCCTGACCCCAAATACAGGAACAGGAACTTTTGAATTGTGTGCTTCAGCTTTCATGCATGAAGACGACTCAGGTAACATCTTATCAAGTGTCACTTCCTACCACAGCAGCTTACATTCCAATCTTCCTTAGAGATTCCTCGAGCTCAGCCCGAGTTTCCCCTGCCCTCAAACACCCTTGAGTATTTATTGTCTCTACCTCTCCAGCATGCCTACAAAACACAAGGTGGATGAGTTCCTAGTTCAAAGGCAAGGATTGCACTCAATGGAAGTGACTTTCCAACTGCAGTGAGCACAGATCATCTGTCAAAACACACCCCAGCTTCTGGGTCATGGAGTCCTGGGTACAGCTTGAGAATCAGCATTTCAAACAAAATCTAATCCTAATCCAGGGAACACATTTGGAGGCCTGCTCATTTCTTGATGCAGAAGGAGAGGGTGAAGGACATCCACCTTCATCAGAGCCCTTCCTTCAGAGTTCTCCAGATTTTATAAATTTGTAGAATTTATAGCTGACTTCTTACCAGAATCCCACACAGACCTCCAGTGGTACCCAGGGAGGAAGGGCAACCCTCATTCATCATCTCCTCTAATTCAAGAATTTTTTTCTTACTACTGTGTGAGATATTTTTGTATAAATGAAAGTTGTTCAATTGAGCTTTGGTTGTCTGTGTGATGGCAGGCTTTGAATGCAGTCACTGTGTTGCACACTGGAGATCTGGCAGGAGTTGCATGGTGATATGAGCTTTATCTGTTTTATGTGCCTTATATCTTTGTGAGCCCTGAGGTTCTAATTCAAACTTGGCTCTTCCCTGAGGTCATTGCTTCTCTTTCCGGTTCTTTCATTCCAGTTCTGCCCTGGCCTCATAGTGCTAGGCGTGGGAAGGTGTCTCTTCTGCTACTACATCCAAATCATTTTCCTTGAAAATGTTTTCCCTTGAAACATCCTATGTTGCAATGATTATCATCACGTTACATCATCTGTTATCATTTCCCAGGGCAACTACTGAGTACATTTCTTTGAATATTTTAATTATTGCCTTCTTAGTACTTTCAGAAAAATCTATGTATAACCTTATTATTGATATTTTTAACTTTTAAATCCACATGAACATTACTCCCAATGCCTTGGCCCTTCTACTCCTGACACTCCAGTCTTCTCTGCTACAACCATCAACTTCCAAGGCTGTACACCCTAACCTGTACTACCTGCAATTCTACCAACTCAACAGTTTCACCCCTCTGCCTCTTCCTGCTTACACCTTCCAGTACTGATTAAAGAGTCAATAGTTTCTTTGATTCCACTAGGACTGGCTACCATTGACACTATGAGTTCTCCCAGATACCATTGACACTATGAGTTCTCCATGCCCACATGTCACTTCCTCCAGTTTAAAGTTTTGAGTTCTGAACTCCACTGAAGAATATTTCTTAGGCACTTTCTCAACTCTCTTGCCCCCATCACTTCATTGTATTTGTCTTATAAAATCCAGTCCTAAAGAGTTCATTTTTCTGACTAATCTGTAGAAAGTAAAACCAGGAAGACTGGACTCACCTTAACATGTTCTGGGAATTAAGTTTTTAGCAAAATAAAAAGATATAATATTAATTATATAGGCGATTATAGACTAGCTAAAAATGAAAACAAAATGACTCAACTCTTTGGCAGTTAGTGTTTCTCTCACTTAAGTGGTGAGTGATCCTCTTGGTTTAAAACATTTCCTTTACGATTTTCTCTAAATCTACTTTTATGCTCCTGATCAAAGTACTTGAACAGGATGAGAAACTCTAAGGATGATAAACCACTATATTTTGATGTTTGCTGATTCTAGTTTTAAATTCTATAAAACCACATTGTTGGGGAGTGCTGTAGAATTTATGATTTTTTTAAAAAAAAAATGTTGTCAACTTTGATGGCTTTGAATTACCAAGGACTAAGACGTGTTCCTTTCTATCACCCCTAAGGCCAGATACCTTGCAAATACAAATTGTAAAAAAAGGACACACAAGTGAGGTGATTTCAGATTTCCTCCTCAAAGACTATTTCAGTTTTGACGGCATCATAATGGCTTTTGCTGATGTTTCATCAAAATGACTGAGATCTGAAGTGAATGCCCTGCAGATCTCAAATGTTCTGAGATGATGAAGTTAGACATGAGCATCTGATCAGAAGAACTTACCATCTGAAACCTTGTACTCACAGCTGAGCAAATCCCTGCAGATCCGTGCTGGGTTATCTCGTGTGCCAAGAGGGTTCTTCATGCTGCTCAGTAAACTGCTAAGGTAGTTTAGGGTTTTGAATATCTCTGCACTGTGGTTGATTAAAGTCACTTCAGTATTCTGGAAACTCTACCAAGACATCAGAAGAGTCATATGAGTGGGAAAACACTAATAACACTCTGGACAAGGTAGGACAAGACTGTGATGCCAACTGCTTTTAGAGAGCTGGGAATAGGGTGGAAAGAATGCATCTTTATATCTAAGCATGGATGTCCATCTGCTTATTGACCCATGATCCCAATAGAAGGCCCGAGTTTAGTTTGTAAGTTGAGAAGAGGCCTAAAAGATTATGTCTACTATAACATGACTTTAAAACTCCATATAAAATAATCAGAGTTTAAAATTTTTTCTTACACTTTACTGTAAAACTGTTGCAAAAAAAAAGCATACACTGAAATTATTCAGAACCAAAGACTATTTAACTCACTGATCTTCTGCACAGTTAGAACAGCCATCCTGAGGCTGTGGTGCTTCACACTGAATTTTAGACTTTTACTATCAGATACAGTTTTATGTACTTATCCACCGCCCAAAATGAAAAACACATGACAGAATGGGAATGAAAACAGCAACTAGCTTTATATTTTCATTCATAACTCATGTCCTATCTGCATGGAGTCTTCCTCATATGCTAATATTTAGTTTTTTGAGTTCTCTTTTCTATGTGTCATACAGTATACACACATACACTTGTTTTTGTATGTACTAGATGATTGGCTAGATTCAGCAAAGGGGGAGAATGTGCTTTTTTTCTTTCTTTCTGAGATGAAATGGAATGAATGATCATGACAAATCCTACTGTAAGAAATACAGTTAATTTTACTTTACTATCTTCCTGACAGTACCAACCCCCTTTTAAAAGTCCTAAATTTTTTGCTTTACATATTTTTCTTATGAAATATTCTGTGCATGTATTTCTGTTTTATTATACTTGAAAACAGTTTCGGATATTTCTGTTTCAAATATGACCTTTGAGATAATGCCACATTTTGGCTTTCAAAAAAATCCCTCTGTTTAATTTGAATATCGAAGCTGCCAATATAAATAGAGCCAGATATATTACCTCCATCTGCAGGGCAGAATTTGATGCAATCAGGGCTTGAATAGCAGCATTGATTTCCATTTGTCTCTGTTAAACAAAACCATTTGAGATGGCAATAAGATCAGGGCAGTCTTCTGAAGAACTCTGTGTTCAGTATGCTTTGGGAACCTTGCTGTTAAAGGCTAGTAGATTGATATGAATGGAATCTTCAACTCTTATGAAGACAGATCTTGCAAATAATACCTAGATATTTTGTATGAAAAACAACACAAGGTCTTCATCGTGATCCCACAGGTCTCCTTCAAACAGGACCGGTTGGGAACTTACCAATGGGAGTCGTTTGCCCCTGCTGCATGAAAGTGCATGCTCCACGTCTCAAATGGGAGAAGAACGAAACACAATGCCCCCACATAATAAATTGCACACTGAAGAATAAATAACTCTAGTGATTTTCAACAGTACTATTCTTGGAAGGAAAGTAGAATAAAATACTGCTGTCCTGAGGTAGTCACCACAAGACTCAATCTGATACTTTTGTGGTCTTAAAAACAATTTCTGAAGTTGGAAAATGTACCATTAGTCCCAAAAGAAATAGCAGTACAAACTCAATCTGCTCCTGCATTTAATAAAAAGATATTTTAAAAGAAAAACTCAGTATGATCATTTGTAATAGTCTTTTATAATTAAAAAATATCTTGGAAATGAAGAAGCCTGAGCTGGGGGAAGGTTCTGGAAATCACATCTGTGCAAGTGAGGTAAGTCATCTGATTTATCTCAGAAAGATTATGATACTGAGACACCTTGTTTTTGCAAGCCCATAGGATAGAAACTTCTTATCAACAGTTCATTCTCAAGTTGTGGTTGGTGATTGGAAGAGCCATTTAAGACGATGGAACAATCAATAAAAAACACTTTCCCAACATGTGGTTTTCATATTGGAAAAGAATTCACTCATTCTGCACAATACATGTATTTCCAAACACTTTGATAAGTATTAAGGAGAAAATTGTAAGCAAGAAAGAGAATTGTTCCCATGGGGCTTAATGCTAGAGGGGAAACAAGCACAGATCAAATGATCTAAACCACACAATTATAAACCGTTATATGTGTGACGGGAGAAAAGTGCATGGGGCTATGAGAGAAACTGGGGAGCTAAAGCTGGCGAGTGCAAGGCATTGGTGAGGGAACGTTTTCTTATGGTAGTGATATCTGAAAGGAAACAAGGAGGAATGAGAATGGTGAGGGAAAGGGAGGAGAGCTTCCCAAGCAGAAATGACAACCTAGGGTGAAGCCCATGAGACATGACCTGTCCAAGAAGTAGGAAAGGTTAGGCTAAGAACTTTCGCTGCAGATTAAGCAATTCTGAGACTAAGTCTTGCTATGTAACTCAGAATGCCTTTGAACTCACTATTCTCCTGCCTCAGCACCTCAATACTGGGATTACTGGAACATGCCACCATGCTGGCTCATGGTGTGTGATTAAAAGCACCAATTAGAACCCCCAGCATAGTGGTTCTCACACTCTTTAGAATTAGAAGGCTCTTTGGTCTTTTATTGTGACTGAGTGAGACTGAGGCTGTGGGAAAGGTCTCTCCAGGCACACATTACGCCATGGGTTCCATCTTCAACACCATAAAACACAAAACCCAACCAAACGAAATTATAATTGAGTACCTTAAAAGGCTTTTGCTTATGTGAGTTATAACTTTGGTATTTGCTAAAATAGAAATATGAACATAAAGTTTAAAATGACATATTACTTGCTTAAAATAGCAATACACTTATTGTGTAATAAAATTACTAAAATATTCTATGTACTGTTTATAAAACAAACAACAGGATCACTAGTAGGCTAGTGCCTTGTGCTTTTGCATATCTTTAATGTTTAGGTTAATGATGGAAGGTAAAAGCTCATTTTTCTCTGTAGTCATGAATTTGCTGTTTCTTTTTACTATTTCTAACATTGCTTTGGGCCATCAGAACAGCCATTCTATTCCATACAACTAGGCACTGTCCACTTTTAGAATTACAAATGGAGTAAAAGTACTTTTAAGATAAATTATTATAATTTTGAGTTTGGACCAAGTCCACAGGCTGCAAAACAGACACAGAAGGGACAGAACATGACCGAAGTCCCTTCAGAGTTTCACTTCCTGAACACTGTCATTATTTGACCTTTCTGGTGGTGCCCTGGAAGACATCTAGGGCCGTCTTTATTCTACCCAATCCTGTGGTCATCCAGTACAGCACAAGGTTATCCGATGGAACATTTCCCAAAAGTATGTGCAGCGAATTTTTTAATTTTGTCTAAAATAGTAGAGAATGAAGCGACCACTGGGATAACCAAAAGCTTCCAAGGAAAAGCTAGACACTTTCAAAGGTTCTGACCATATCCAGAATCTGAAACTCCAGGCGATGTTAGCTCAGAGAGTCCCGAGAAGTGTCAAGCCATCAGCTTTGGCTAATCTTGAGGTTCTTGTGAGAGCAGGTGAGGTTAAGGTGTAATTGTCAACTGCCTGGCTGAGCGTTGAGATGGTGCCATAATTACACACAAATTCCATTAGCAAAAGGGGAAGCCTTATCATTCCTGGTGCCTAAGAAAACCTAGTAGGGCAAGGCGTTGGTGGCGCATGTCTTTAATCCCAGCACTTGGGAGGCAGAGGCA